TGTGTGCGTGTGTGTGGCGGTGGCGGTGGGGGGGGGCACACGGTACTGCAGAGGGGCGACTGTCCCGGCCCCAAACGGGCACCCGCGGGGGTCTCCGGTCCGAGTCAGCTCGAGGGGGAAGGCAGAAACCCGCAAGCGTGTGCTTAAATCCGATTTTTCTTCCTTTCAGGCGAAATGTCCGTAATTTTTAGATTGAAACTTGAAAGATAAATCAAAATGGACCTTAATAGACTAGGTAAAATATACCCCTGCACGTTTATAAAGACATATTCCTATGCTGTGTAGATAATAACGCACGCTGTTCACCATCTGTATCTTTTAGAGCACGGGAAAAAATGTCGCCATTTTGGTCTCATGCTGAAATATTATTAATCTTTGGGCTTTATCTTGTTCCCAGAACCATCCTTGCCTGATGCTGAAACATTGTCATGCATCTCTGAATCTATATAGAGCTTTTCGGCATAAATAGATAAAGCATGCTCCGTCAAAGAAAGGGATTGCAAATATATTTATACCGTGCTGTTCATTGTATACATAGATATGTAACCGTGGAAGGAAAGGTTATGTAGTCTGATATTTTTCATTGAAACCTGATTATTAACCAATACAGACCAACGACTGATTATTATTTTGTAGGCGAAGGAAGCATTTTTGCAACATTGCAAGTCATTGCTCGTTTCAAATGAGCGCCCGTATAAAATTCAAGCCGGCCCCCCACCCCTCGGCTCAGTTAGGTTAGATACAACAAAAGGTAACGGTACAGTCGGTGATTCGCACTGTGTGGCTGCTTTAGCCCCACGAATTACATTTAGGAAAATGTTCAGAGAGAAGGAATTTGGCGTTTCACCCCCCTCCCACTCCGAAGAAAGAAAAATACAGGCGATTTTGCACCCTTCTTTCCAGAAACCGTGCTCAGCCCCTTCTTCGGAGCCTGTAGGTTGCGAGTAAGAATTTGTATTTTTGCATTTAAGATTCGCCCGATTAAAAGATCCCTCTGGAGGCAGAAGTAATTGATTTGCCCAAGAATTTCGCGTCCCTTCTCCAAAGGTTTTGTTCCAGGTGGTTTTTGTATTAGACTGACCACAAGAAACAAATGTGCAGAATAGAGACACCCACACAGGTTTTACTCACAAAGCCTGGTTAAAGTCCAAACCTCTCTCTTTATTATTTGTCATCCTGCTGTTAATCCCAATATTTTCCAGAGAGGGAAAAAAAATTAAAGAAAACGAAAAGCCTGGCCCCAAGGTAGGCACTGAGAAGCAAAATAAAAACGGACTTTTCCCACAAGCAGCCCAGTCCTCTGCCAGCATATTTTAAAAGCAGCTTTTTTCCTTGTTTACTTGCGTTTCTTGCTCTGCCTCTTTTCTCGGCCACATTTGATCTTGGAAAGAGCAAGAAGCCTTAAATGTGTTCTTAAGGGCCAGTAGCTGTCAAACCTTTTGGCGGCCAAGATTGATCGCGCGCAGACACCACCAGAGCTTTGTTTGGACTAAAAGCAAGAAAATTAAACCCCTAGCATTTTCCAACAGCATCGATATTTGTAAGGCATCCCTTTCGAGGGATTAAATGACAAGTCTCGTTCTATATTTTATTTAAACAAGCAACCACCAAAAAGCCCATTTAAAGCCTCCCGGCCCCTCCCCTCCCCCTCTCTCCAATGCCTTCGCAGATATGCTACATCTTGTGGGTGCATTAACTTAAAACCGATTTTTTAAATGCGCTTCGTGCAGTCTGGACGCAGACTGATCCGCTGAGTGCTTGGGGTCTTGTTTTCTCTCTCCCCCCCCTTTTTCTTCTTCTTTTTTCTTTCTTTTTTTTTTTT